TATTTTCTTTTTTTGGTAGAACTGAGGATTGAACTCAGGCCTTTGAGCTTGCTAGGCAAGTGCTTATTCTACTGGGCCAATTCCTTGTTCCTAAGAGGCATAGTTTCTGACATAGCAAGATTATCATCTTCTAGCATATATCTGTATTAATAACACTTTCTAAAAACTGGGGACCTGGGGGTGTGTGGCTCAGTGTTAGAGCCCATGCTTAGTATGTATAGAGCTTAGGGTTCAATCCCTGGCATCAGAAAAATATATATTAGTCCAAGACCACATGTCACATCTCATTGTCATGTATCCTTTTAAAAACAATTTTTTAAAATCTTTTATTTATTTGGTACAAGGTCTTGCTACACAGCTCGGACTCATAGTGGTCCTCCTGTCTCAGCCTCCCCAGCGCTGGGATTACAGGTGTGCACCACCATGCCTGGTTTTGGTTTTGGTGGCTGGCTCGGTGCAGGGCCAGGAAAGCATGCGGTACTGGGGATCAAATCTAGCTTCAAGGGGCCAGGGAGATAGCCCAGTAGAATAAGCACTTGCCTGGCAAGTGCAAGGTCCTGAGTTCAATCCCTGGCACTGAAACAAAACAAAACAAAAGCCCCAGCTCCTTGCACTTGCCAGGCAGGCACTTAGACCACCGAGTTATCTCCCCAGTCCCAACTTAGAACAGTTCTGAATTCTTTCTGTGTCACTGATCTTCTGGTTTGTTTGTTTTTGTTTTTTTTTTTTTTGGTGGTATCAGGGATCAAACTGAGGACCAAGCACTTGCCAGGCAGGCGCTTATGCCACTGAGCTGTATCCCTGGCCCTCTGTGTCACTCATGTTCTTTTTCTCTTTTTTTTTTTTTTTTTTTTTCAGAACTGGGGATTGAACTCAGGCCCTTGGGCTTGCCAGGGAAGCTTTTACTGAGCCATGTCCCCAGCCCCTCACTCATGTTCTTTCTTTTTTCACTCATGTTCTTGATCCTTAAAAAGATTACAAGAGTTACAGACTATTTTGTAGAAGGAACTTGACTTCTTTTTCCCTGCTATTTTCTCATGAATAGGTGCAAGTTGTACCTTGTGGGCGGGCTTGGTGGTGTTCTCGGCACATTCCTACCACAGCTGATGTTAACTTTGATCTCTTAATTAAAATCACATCTACCAAGTTGCTCTAGGAAAGTGGCTTTTTCTTATATGTAATTAATAAGCGTCTTGTGGCAGGGACTTTGAAACTATGGAAATACTCCATTTTTCATCACACTTTCACCCACTGATTTTTAAAGCCCTTGATTTTCACCAGAAAAGAGTTAGCGTAACTGTGGTGGCCACCAAAATGATGATCAGATTTTTGAAATTTGTCATTATAGGGCAGGAATAATACAAAGTTGCCAGCATATTTATGCATAGTAAGTAAGATGAAAGGAGACAATATTTTGGAGCGCTTGTTAAAATAATAAACAAGCAACAGGGCCAGGGCACTATTTTAGTGGTGAAGCACTTGCCTAGCGTTTACAAGCCCTGGTGTATGAGCTTCAGCCCTGCAAAAACACGAGAAAAAACAAAAAGCCAAGAATATCTTCTTTATAGTTTTTCATAGTTTTTATTATGTCTGGATCAAAGGTGGTTTCCCAAGAAATCATAGGCATGGTTTATAGGTGTTTCTTGTGAATTTTCAGCTAGAAAAGTTGACATTCTGCTCTCTTCTTTCTAATTAGGTGTTCAGGGTTTTCTCTAGATGAATCCCATGGGATTTCTTAACAAAACCTAGCTTTTGTTTAGTGCAACCCGTGATGTCTTTTACTATGTTCCTCTGTTCCCTGTAGTTTTTTTTTTTTTTTTTAAGGCTACCTTTCTTTGTGTGTGTGTGTGTGTGTGGCCAGCTCAGCCCACCAGGGGGCGGGGCTGGCTGGCATGTGGTGCTGGGGGATTGAACTGCGGTCCCTGCCCTGTGCTTTGCTAAGCTTGTTCTAAGTAGGTGCTTTAGACCACTGAGCCATCTCACCAGCGCCCCCCCCCTCCCCGTAGTTCTTGAGAGTTGCTAGATTTAGGCCCTTAAGGTCTTGGTGTCCGTCTTCGATGTTAGGTCGGGATGGTCAGCTCCTACCTCTTTACTTCGACAGCAGTTTCCAAATGGTAACTTGGTAACTTGGTAACTTAGTAGAAGTAATTTCTACCAAATTATAAAACACTTATAAACACTTAGTCTAGAAGGATATGCTCTTCTTCAAATGTACTCTTAACGCTAGTAATGCTGTTAAACCAATCTATTTAATAATTATACCTGATATTGCTTTGTATATAAAATTAATATTTTCTATGGTTACATTTTATTCTTTTAATAGATTTGGAGGATAGGTGAGATAGCAATCTAAGCACCTGCTTAGGCAAATGCAGGGACCGGAATTCGATCCCCAGCACCATATGCCACACCAGACCCACCCCCAGGTGCGCTGAACCTCCAGGTGTGGTGGCGCACGCCTGTAATCCCGGCACTGGGGAGGCTGAAAACAGGAGGATCACTTTGTGTCTGAGCAGCATAGTGAGACCCTGTACCAAATACATTAAAAAAAAAAAAAACTTGATAGTCTATATTATTCCTTTTTCATCCATCAGCTATAATACTCCTAAAAGTGAAACTACCAATCATCACCTATTTTAGTTACATTACATCAACAAGGTCAGCAAACTAAGGTCTCCAGGCTACACCCAACCTGCTGCTCATTTTTGTCAATAAAGTTTTATTAGAGCATAGCTATACTCATTTGTTTACATTTCAAGGATCCAGTTGGGTAACTAAGATTGAGGCCATGTATGGCCCACAGGGCTGAAAAATTTACTGTCTGGCCCTGTACAGAAAAAGATTAAGGGGGCTGGAGAGATGGCTCAGTGGTCTAAAGCACCTACTTGAAACAAGCTTGGCAAAGCACAGGGACCGC